AGCCTCGTGGGCAGCCTTGGGCGCCCCAGGGGGCGTCACGGGCGCCCCGGGGGTCGTCATGGACAGTCTTGAGCGCCCCTCCCGGGGCCTTCTCGGGGTCCGCAGGGCCCGTCCTGCGGCGGTGTCGGAGGCCTTGTGGGCTGTCGTGGAGTGTCAGGATGGGGAGAACGAGAGGGCACCGAAAATACGGAAGAACCCTCGCGAAAACACTAATGCTTGCTTTTCGGGGCACCCAGCTGGGGCCACGGACGTGCTCTGGAGCATGCCCAGGGCCGCCCTGGCGCCGTCTGCAGGCCTCCAGGGAGCTCCCCGAAGCGAAATATTCAAAATTTCGCTTCACGCCCCCCCCCCTCGGAAGGCCATCTCGGGGCCGTGTTGAGGGCGTCGTGGGCCGTCTTGGGCGCCCCTGGGGGCGTCATGCAGCCCTGCTAGGCCGTCTGGGGCCTTCTGGGGGGCCGCTGGGCGCGTCCTGAGGCGATGTCGGAGGCCTCGTGGGCCGTCGTGGAGTGTCAGAGTGTGGCGACAAGGAGAAGGCACCAAAAATATTGAAAAACCCACGCGAAATCGATGATATTTGCCTCTCGGGGTACTCGTCTGGGACCTCGAGCACCCACTGAAGCTGGCACGGGGCCGTCCTGGTGTAGTCTGGAAGCCTGCTGAGGCCGTTCAGAAAGCATTTTCGGTGCTCTGAGAGTATGGTGGGTTCCCCGTGTGGAGCCCCCCGAGCAGGCCCCTGGAACCCCTGCCCGGTTATGTGTACCTGGGGTCCCGGTTTTGAGCCCGCCCGAGGCCTACTCCGATAGATATATATATATATATATATATATATATATATATATATATATGCACATACATGCATGCATGCATGCATACATACATACATGCATACATATATGTATGCATGTATATGCATATTTGTATATATGTATATGTGTATATATATACATGTATGTATATATGTATATTCCCTACCTAGGCTCTGCCTAGAAAGGTTCTTACCCTGTGTCTTAAAGGGGCCGGGCAGTGGGAACCGCCCCGGGCGGTTCCCCCGGCATCCGCCCCGCGGTTCCCCCAGGATCCCCCGCTTTGCCTAGCCTAGCTTAGCTTAGCTTAGCTTGGCTTAGCTTTAGCTTAGCTTAGCTTAGCTTAGCCTAGCCTAGCTTAGCTCAGCTTAGATTAGCATAGCTTAGCTTACCTTAGCTTTGCGCAGCGCAGCATAACGCAGCGCAGCATTAGCACAGTATAGCATTGCATAACATAACCAAGCATAGCATAGCATGGCATAACATAGCATAGCATGGCATAGCATAGCATAGCTGAGCATAGCATAGCATGGCATAACATAGCGCAGCATAACATAGCATAGCATAGCATAGCATTGATTAGCATAGCATAGCGCAGCATAGCACAGCGCAGCATAGCATAGCATAGCACAGCACAGCATAACATAGCATAGCATAGCGCAGCATAGCATATCATACCATAGCATAGCATAGCGCAGCATAGCATATCATAGCGTAGCCTAGCATAGCATAGCGCAGCATATCATAGCATAGCATAGCATAGCACAGCATAGCGAAGCATAGCTTAGCTTACACTAGCTCAACTCAGTGCAGCATAGCGCAACGCAGCATTAGCACAGCATAGCATAGCATAGCATAGCGAAGCATAGCATAGCATAGCATAGCATAGCATGCAACGCAAAAACAAAACCAATGCGAAAGTGTAGATGTAGATGTAGATGTGGATGTAGATGTAGGTGTAGATGTGGATGTAGATGTAGATGTAGATGTAGATGTAGATGTAGATGTAGATGTAGATGTAGATGTAGATGTAGATGTAGATGTAGATGTAGATGTAGATGTAGGTAGATGTAGATGTAGATGTAGGTGTAGATGGAGGTGTGGATGTAGATGTAGATGTGAGTCTCGCTGTTGATGTTGATGTAGAAGCAGATGCAGGTGTAGATGCTAATGTAGCTGTCGGTGTAGATGTAGATGTTGCTTTCCTAGATGCTCCAACTCCTAGGTAGGGTCGCACTGTAATACTTTGTATAAATGTATATGTATGTATGTATGTGTATGTATGTATGTGTGTATGTGTGTATGTATGTGTGTATGTATGTATGTATGTATGTATGTATGTATGTATGTATGTATGTATGTATGTATGTATGTATGTATGTATGTATGTGTGTGTGTGTGTATGTATGTATGTATTTCCCCCATCAGAGCTTGCCTCTGTAGGGGTCCTAGCGGATTAAAGGGTTAGGTGAGGTGCGTCGCCGATTTCGGTGGCCGGGCCCGGGTGCCCGGGTGCCCGGGTGCCCGGGTGCCCGGCGGTGCCCGGGTGGCCCGTGAGGTGCGTGGCCGATTTCGGTGGCCAGGCCCGGGTGCCCGGGTGCCCAGGGGTGCCCGGGGGTGCCCAATAGCCCAATAGCCCAATAGCCCAGTAGCCCTATAGTCATATAGTCCTATAGCGCTATAGCCCTATAGCCCTATAGCCCTGTAGCCCTATAGCCTTATATCCCTATAGCCCTAATAGCCATATATCCCTATAGCCCTATATCCCCATAGCCCATATATAGCTCTATAGCCCCATAGCCCTATAGCCCTATGGCCCTATAGGTCACAGTCATATAGCCCTATAGCCCTATAGCCCGATAGCCCTATAGCCCCATAGCCTGATAGCCCGATAGCCCTATAGCCCTTTAGCCCTATAGCCCTATAGCCCGCCCTATAGCCCGATAGCCCTATAGCCCTATAACCCGAGAGCCCTATAGCCCGATAGCCCTATAGCCCGATAGCCCTATAGCCCATTGGTGTCTGCCGCTCCGGCCGATTACAAAGGGAGCAATTGGAAGAATTTAAGAATATGATTGGGTTATTGTCCAGTATCATTATGTATGTGTGTATGCATGTATACATACATGCATGCATGTATGTATGTATGTATGTATGTATGTATGGTATGTATATATGCATGCGTGTATGCATGTATGCATGTATACATGTATGCATGTATGCATGTATGTATGTATGTGTGTATGTATGTATGTGTGTATGTATGTGTGCATGCATGTATGTATGTATGTATGTATGTATGTATGTGTGTATGCATGTATGTTTGTATGTATGTATGTATGTAGGAATGACTCAATGTATCACTGTATGTATGTATGTATGTATGAATGTATGTATGCATGTATGTATGTATGTATGTATGAATGTGTGAATGTATGTATGTATGTATGCATGCATGTATGTATGTATGGTTGTTTGTTTGTATGTATGTAGGTATGTAGGTATGTATGTATGTAGGTATGTAGGCATGTATGTAGGCATGTATGTATGTATGCATGCATGTATGTATGTATGTATGGATGGATGGATGGATGGATGGATGGATGGATGGATGGATGGATGTATGGATGTATGGATGTATGGATGTATGGATGTATGGATGTATGGATGTATGGATGTATGGATGGATGTATGTATGTATGTATGTATGTATGTATGTGTGCATGTGTGTATTGTGTCTGTGTGTGTGCGTGCGTGCGTGCGTGCTTGCGTACGTGTGTGTGTGTGCGTGTGTGTGTGTGTGTGTGCGTGTGTGCTGCCACCAACGCGCGCGCACACGCTGGCGTGTACACGCTTGCGCGCGCACGCTGGCGGGTACGCCGGCGCGCGGGCCTTGTGGCCGAACGCCTGTTTAGCGTCGAAGCCAAAATGGCGGCGTATGTCTTCACCACAATCACAGGAACGCGTGTTAATTTAAAAATCGGGCACCGCTAAGGGCCAATTTTACTTTCCAGGCCAACATGGCGGCTTCTCTATTGTAGCATAGACGTGCTGCCACGCGCGCACGTTAGCGCTCACGCTGGCGCGTAGGCGAATTGGCCGAACGCCCATGCGTCGACGAAACCAAAACAGCCTGGACCCGAAACTGTTAGCCATATCCGACATTGGCGTAACCACGCCTGAAATGTTAACCAGCGCGGGCCCCTCACCGGTGTTTCAGTAATACATGTTGTGATATCTACATTGCGCAACGTGCGTTGGACGCGCTGCGACCGCACTGGTGGCGACCTTCACGACCACCCCTTCACGTCCACCCTTGTTCACGACCGCCCCTGTTCCCTCCTCTTTCCTCCTCCTGCGCCTCCTCATCCCTCCTTCCTCCTCCCTACTCATCTTGTTCCCTCCTCCTTGGATGTCAAAGAGCGGGGGCGGCGACGACGACGACGACAGCGGCGACATGCGGCGATGACGGCGACGACGACGACGACGACAGCGACGACGACGACGACGCCGACGTGCACCGCTGCAGATTCCCCACAGGGGGGGGCGCTACGAGGGCCCGCCTTGTCGACGACGACGACGACGACGGTTGACGACGATGCGCGGACGCGGCATTTGAGCATTCCACTAATTAAATACTGCGTTGGGCGCACGCACGATTCCTCACACGCCACCGCCCTGGCGGAAGGCGAGGCGGGAAAATGATCACGGCCCGCGCTGTGCATTCCGCGAGCTCGCTGGCCTGGCAAGCGCGGTAAATTTAGCAAATTTCCTGCATTGACCACGACATGCGATTCCCCAAGATTGTTTGTTTGGATGGGGGGGGCAGGTCCGAAAATAAATCCAAGTGGCCGTGCCGAAAACAACATCAGTGCACTTCCCCGCGGGGCGCACCGCCCAAGCGGTGGTGGGCTTGATCAATTCCAAACGGATATCCCCGCGAAGTGGCCGAACAAGGGCTGGGGGACGTAGTACCAGTCTCCCCCCTCATCGGCTGTCCGCGACCATCCGGGCACCCCCAGACCGTTCTCGGCGAGGCGCAGCTGCTGGAACGCATCCCGATGCTGCAAAACTGCCGAGAACAAAACAAAACAAACATGCCCGAAAACCGAACCTCGAACTGGCGGCGCGACACGCCAGACCGTAGAGCCATAGTTCCTTACCATGGAGTGGCCGCGCTCCCGACGCGGCCGCCGCCTCGGCACGCCGCCGCCTGGCCGCTGGGACGGCGCCCTCAGCGCGCCCGCTGCCGCTGTCGAGCGCCGCCGCCCGCCCGCCCCCCCCCCGCGAGGGGGCGGCCGAGCCCCGGCGCGTGGCGGCGGATCGCGTGCGCGGACGAAGCCGACGCAGACGACGACGAGACCGATGCAGACGACGACGAGGCCGACGACGACGACGACGACGACGACGACGTCGACGGCGGCGGCGACGACAAGGCCGACGACGACGGCGACGGCGACGGCGACGGCGACGGCGACGGCGACGGCGGCGGCGGCGGCGGCGGCGGCGGCGGCGACGGCGGCGACGGCGGCTACGACGCCACCAACCCCGGGCGGAGGTCAGAGGCCCTGGGCGAGGAAGAAGCGCAAGTGGAGGAGGAGGAGGGAGGAGGGAGGAGGAGGAGGAGGAGGAGGAGGAGGGAGCCGAGGGAGGAGGAGGAGGAGGAGGAGGAGGAGGAGGAGGAGGGAGGAGGAGGAGGGAGGAGGAGGAGGGAGGAGGAGGAGGGAGCCGAGAGGAGGGGGGCGGCGCATCCACGGCGACAGCGCAACCCGAGCCGCCCGGGCCGCTCAGCGAGGCCGGGACCGAAACTGGGACCAGATCTGCATCGCCAACTGAGCCTGGCCTGTGCCGCGGGTCCCGTGACGTGGTGCTTTGCGCTGTGGCGGCTCGCGATGGGCGAGGGGCTGGTCTTGCGATTGCGATGCTTGTGTCGACAACGATCGCATGGTGTGCGCGTGCGGCTGGGTGTCGAGGTTGGGATCGCACTTTCCCCCCGCAGAGGTTGGGAGGTCCGACAGAAGAGAACGTGCGTGGCAGATCAGATCGAGACTCTCGGACGTTCTTCACAAAAATCGCCGCGCGCTGTTTGTCCTCGACGCGCCCAAGTGGACGACGCCGACACCACGGCAAAAACCCACAGCAAGCCCTGCGTCCCGCACCCCAAGCAGACGAAGCCGGCTCCTCCTCCTCCTCCTCCTCCTCCTCCTCCTCCTCCTCCTCCTCCTCCTCCTCCACCTCTTCCTCCTCCTCCTCCTCCTCCGAGGCGGCGTTTGCCCTGGTGGCAGAGGCGCCCTCCCCAAGACGGGAGGCCGCGCGTCGGCACGAACGGCGCGGCGACGCGCGTTCGCCCTCCTGGGAGCCTCCGAAAGCCTCGGGGGGCCTCCAGGGGGGAGCTCTGGAGAGCCCAGTGGCGCCCAGAGGCGAGGGCGAGGGCGAGGTGGGCAAGGGTGCGGGCCGGGGATAGAAAAACAATATGGAGATCGGGGTGGTGGCGCCCAGCTGAGGATGAGGGCGAGGGTAAGAGCGAGGGCAAGGGCGGCGACGATGGCGAGGGCAAGGGTGATAGTGAGGATGAACGTGGAGGTGAGGGCGAGGCCACACGAAATCTCACAGGTGTGCACGCTGAGGAACATTGCTCCTCCTCACGAGCATCGTACCTGTGAAGGCGTCGCGCGCCGTCGGGCCGCCCTTCCCTCGGAAGAGCTGGACCGATGCATAAGCGGAGTCAGTTACAGAGGACAGAGGGAGGACATGTTTTCCCAAGTAGCTGGCTGGCCATTCCACCGACGCTTCATCCACGTCCATCACCGCGCATTGACGGCGGAGCAAGGCGAGGCCGCGCTGATCGACCACCTCGATAGTGGAGCCGCTCACCTTGGGCGGTAGCACTGGCTGACTCTTCCTCCTCCTGCTTCTGATCCTGCCCTTCCTTTCACCACTCCTCCTCCTCCCTCCTCCTCCTCCTCCTTCTCCTCCTCCTCCTCCTTCGCCTCATCTTTCTACTCCTCCGCCTCCTGTTCCTCTTCCTAATGTTCCTCTTCCTGATCCTCCTTCTCCTTCTCCTCCTGATCCTCCTCCTGATCCTTCTCCTCCTCCTCCTCCTCTTCCTCCTCCTTCTCCTCATAATCCTCGTCCTCCCCATCCCAGCCGTCGTGCGCAAGCAGTGAAGGCGGGAGAGACACAGGGCGGCTCAGTTCGAGATGCGCTTCATGCGACGACTCCCTTTCAAAGAGAGCGTGCGTGTGCCATCGTCGGAACTGTGATGGGGCGCCCTGGAGAGGGGGTCCCCGAGTCCATCTCTTCCTCGGAAATGCACAAGGACGCCCGAGAAGAAACGAAAAACGAGGGAACGGAAAGTGGCACGAGAAGACAGCGCAGGGGAAACGGGAACGGGAACGAGGAAACACGAATGACGCCAGAGACGCTGGGAACGCGAATGGAAGTGGGAATCGACAGGGACACATGGGGACAGTGCTGAGAAGACGAAGGAACGGACACGAGGGAACCGAAGGGACGCCAGGCGGGTGTATCTCGTCATTTGATCGAGGACCTTGGTTTTTGAACGGTTATGCCCCGCTGGGACATCCGGAAGCCTGCAGAAGCCTCTGGGAAGCACTTGGGAACTCCAGGAACCCTTAGAGACCGCAGATCAGAGACCCTGGGAAAGGACTCCTAGGAGGAGGGAGGAGGGAGGGCGTGGCAGCAGCAGGGACAGTAAATGTTTTCCCTTGAGCCAAACGTGTCCCAACGGTAAGACACACTCTATGAAACCTAAAGCAAAACCTACTTGTGAATATTCTGCACTCTTGCTACACAGGTCGAACTTTCTCATAGGAGCAGTAAGCAAGGATATTATTGGAAGGCATACGAACTAGCATGGGAAGGATAAAGAGGAGGAGAAGAAAAAGCACCACCGCCACCACCAACCCAGATTTGGTCCTGGAGTTCCTTCCACGAGATCCACGATGTCTCGTCCAAAACCTTCCGGGAGGCTGCCTGAATACGGCTCTTGAGCCCTGACTGGGCACGACGGCGTTCAACCTCGGCGCCCTCGTCCACTAGAACCAGTCTGCCGCTTGTCATACAATCAAAGAAAGCGACACTCCCCTTCGTGAAGTCGTCCTTCGTCAGGGAATCGACCGGCATCCGGCCGTGGGGGACCCAGCGAACCTTGCCTCGGGCCCGGTTGAGGGTCTCACATATTATGGCGAGGTCGATGGCCGTCCTTCGGCCACGGGCAGACGCATTGCCCTCCTTGAGAATGGTGTCGTATACAGACTTAGCATCTACCACACGTACCTGTTGTTCCTGGGAGCCGAGAGTGCACTTGCTTCTGAGAACGGTAGTGAAGGGTCCGGAACATCTGTGATGATCCAATATCTCAACATCCTGGAACATAATATCTCCATATAAGATCTGCAGATACTCCACTTCCGCCACTGCCGAAGACAGAGCTTGGGTCTCACCTGCTAGAGTCGAGGGTACTTTGCGTCGCAGCTTCGAACTGCGCCAACCCAAGATAAAAAAACACGCACTGATCTCTTCTTTAATATACTGCAATCGGCGGCGAGCACCATCCAAGCGCCCTGCGTAGGATCCTCGGGGAGGCCATGATCGTCGAGGATGTCGTCAAAAGAACTGACCGCTCCCGCGTCGGAGAAAGAAATCGAAGCCACGCGCTCAGGATCCAATTTCCGCACGGTGAGCCCTCGAGGAGCAGTGGCTCGCAGGTGACGCACCATCTTGTTCGCCAGTGCCGCGCCACCCGTGGTCGGTGCCTTCAGCCTGCTCGCCAGGATGCTAACCACCCCCGCAGCTTCTGGCCTGCACTCTCGGCCTACACAGTTAAATTCGTTCACGAGGGATCTCAGCGCCTTGAATCCTGATTGATCAAGAGGGCTAGTATTCGAAGAGAGGCGGCCGCGTGCCATCGTGAGAGGTTTGATCTCTTCGAAGATTACTTTTCTTGATCCAGGGTAGCCTTCTGGGAACTGATGACATCGCGTCTGTCCGCAAATTCACGGGCCCGCCATGGCAGTCACGGTACTTACCAAACTTAAGACGGGATTCCAAAAGCTGTCTGATCCAGGTCCGGGTCGCGGGTGAGCTGCTGCCAATAAAGAAATCGTCCACTTCCAAAAACATCATGTTTAAAATCTCACCTTTGGGCCCATAACGGACCCACAAACATGGCTCCAAAAGACTCTTGTTAAAACAGTGTTGGGACAGGAAGTTCGCGCATCATCTAATCCGCGCGCATTGACCTTCCAGAGTATCAGGGATCCTTTCGGGGGGTCTATGTCCTCGCAGGGTTCAACGCACACGAAGCCCTGGGTCCCGGTCACGGGGTCGGACTGGCAAAACGCGTTTCTGGCATCAGCGATGTCGCCCAGGAGCCCCAGGTTCATGAGGACCTGGGTGAACATCATTATGCTGGAGGTCTGTGGCGTTGGGACATATGCCTGCAATGACCCTGAGTCCGGATCTCGGTGACCATGGACGCACCGCCTAGATTTGGCCTGGGGCCCTGATCCTGCGCCCTCCAAAAGCTTCCATCGACGGACCATTCGGCTCGTGATGATGCGGTCCGGCTGAGACTTCCTCACAACAGCCGCACGGGCGGGGGAGATGATGTCGACGGCTCCGGTTCCCCTCCTCGCCCACCCAATATTCGGCATCGGAGACCGCGAAGTTGGATCTCTCAGCCGGGGGCAGGTTCTTAAGACTGACTTCTCCTCCTCTACTGGCAGCCATGGCCCATTCGCTAGACTCAACTAGACCGCGCCACTCGCTCATTGGCCAGGCCCGGGCACCGCCGCCAACGTCGTCGTCGCCGTCGCCGCTCCCGCCGGAGGAGGAGGAAGGAGGGGGGATGAGGAAATCTTCGGATGGTTCGAGACTGCGCAGCTCTCGCGGAGAGCGACTCCTGGGCCTTGGCCTGCCCTCCTCGAACTGGCGCGCCAGCGCGGCCGGGGGAGTCCTGACCTCGCGGCCGCGGCTGCCGGAGCTGCCCCCGCGCTCGTCTCTCGGCGCCGGGTCGTAAGGGGGGCGGGGGGCCTAGGGAGACAAGGGCAACTGAGGCAACGGAGCAGGAGAAAGAGCCGCGGAGGAGGAGGGAGCGAAAACGGGCCTCGCAGGCTCAGACTCCCCCGTCCGAGCTCTCTTGACATCTGGCGGGCTCGAGGCAGACCGAGCCTCGGTCTGAGGAATGAGGGTTTCGCGGCGGGCCCTCAGGATGCGTCCCGGGACATCTCCTGGCTGCTCTAATCGACCTCTCTGTCTCCCAGCTCCGAGCCCCGGGGGGACAGGCAATGCGGGAGAGAGACAGGGGGGGGGGGGGGGGGGCAGGAGCCGAGGGGGGAAGAGGAGGAGAGGAGTTGTTCCCCAGGAGAAACTGGCCAGACCGACCCTCTTCGTCTCGCTCCGGAGCGATTTGCCTAGACACCCCGGGAGGGGTCTGCTCTGGTGACTGCCTGGATGTGCTGTCGAGGTCCTCCGCAGGAAAGCCTCGCCCTCTCGGATCCGGCCCTGGCCTCGAGGGAAGCCGCGTTCGAGGAGGGGGGAAGAGGGGGAGGAGGAGGAGGCCCGGTCAGCCTGACGGCTCCTTCCGCTGGCCCCACCAACGAAGGAGAGGGGGGGCAGGAGCGCCCCCGACCTCAGCTGGCTCTCGCGGACCCTGTCCGGGGCCGGGAAGCCTCGGGGCCGAGTCCGCCTCGACTCTCGAGGGCTCGTCCCGCGCCTCGTCCGGCGGCGGACCCTCGCGCTGAACGTCCATCGCACAAGCTCTACGAGTAATTATGAGTCTGTCGCAGTAGCTCCTGCCATTGAGGGCTCTGAGCCAGCTGGAGGCCGCGTTCTTCTTCCGGGCTCGCTAGTCTAACATGCTCGACTGAGCGCATCCATAGACAGGCTCTCGCGGCAAACCATGCGGCACCTTGCTCACACAACGCAACCATCCCGGGGCCAGTCCATCCGTCGCGTCTCCGTCCCAGGGCGTCTGCCCTGGAGGCGGTGCGACTCAGATGACGCCAAACGCAGACCCACTGGCCGGACAAAAACTTGTTCAACTCCAGAGCCCGGGCGCGCGAGGCACGGCCGATCTTCTCGCGGGCGTTGACCTCGAGGGCCAGCCCCCCGGCAGCGGCGCGCGCCTCCTGGGCCCCGGCAAACTCCACACCGGCCGAATCGCGTTCGGAAGGCGGGCGAACCGCATCCTGCCAGCCTCGGGCCCCCCGGGCGTCGTCAGAGAGTAAATCGCGAGGGGGCCTCGGGTTCTGTCCGAACACCAACTGAAGGGGACTGAAACCGCCCCCATGCCAGAACCTATTCTTGTGCGCCACTAGCTCGTGAATTAAATCATCGAGCTCTTCGAGGCTGCTTGGGATTGCAGCGCCGGCGTCCAGCTCGGCCTTGACCCTATCTTTGACCCATCCGCCGTGTCGACTCTCGACGCGGCCATTCTGCCGGGGGACTATCGGCGTCGCACACGTGCTGCATGATGCCCCGCTGCTCGGTGCCTCGGGCGAAGCGCTCGCTGAACTCCGGGCCGCCGTCTGACGCCAGAAAGTCAGGCGCCCCGAAGGGTCTGATCCAGCACGTGACGAACGAGCTCCAGACTGTCGCAGCGAGCATGGGCGTTCCTGGTGCACACCTGGAGATTGGAGCCGCGGTCAACGATATCGACAAAAGGATGGGCAACCCCCGCAGTCGAGATAACAAACAAAATATTCCGACAGCGCGGTTGGATCGAAACGTTCGGGGGAGCGCGCCTCGCCTACGATTGCCAGCGCGACGTTTCTCCCCGCGCTCAATACACTTGAACTTGTTCCCAGCCCAGCGCACAAGATGGGGTTTGACTCCGCCGGCCTGGAGGA